CCCCCCCCAGGGTACTACTCTGTGGTCCTTTAAAAACCAGAGGTCTGTATTTTGTTCGTCAAACAGTTTGTGAGGATCAACCCAGAAACCCCTTTTTTTAAATCCAAAATTGTAAAATGAATTGAATTTAATTTTGTTTTATTTCCAAAATTTTCATTTTTCGCATGTGTCTGCATTTCCCATTCTCACGTTTTCTTTCTTTGTTTTTCTTTAATTTTCCAGTGGAAAAAAAGTTAGAGAAAGTGTTTTTTCTGCCTCCAAATTGCTCTCATTTGATTCCCACTCCTCTTCCAGAGGGAAAAAAAAAAAGATGGGAAAGTTAAATAGCAAGAGAACGTAGAAAAAAGACACATGCACGCATGCACCAACAACCCTCGATCCTCCTCCAAAACGGAATCCTTGAATTGGAGAGGAAAACGTTTTGAATTTCAGATTTTTTTTCATCCTTAAAAAAAAAAAAAAAAAAAAAAAAAAAGGGAAAGAAAGATTTTTCATGAAAAAAATGTCATTCTCGGAATGGAATGAAAAATTAAAATTTGGACCAGCCAGACTCTGAAACCCCTGAAGCCAGACCCCCTGGCTGGTTATTTGCCACTTTCTTTTAGGGTCAACCAGTGAGTGCTGGGCCCTTCCTCTTTAACGCTCAACGTTCTTTAAAGAAAGTTTAAAGGGGCTGGTTCCCCTCTCGGTCATCCTGCTGTAAAGGAGTCCCAGCCGTGTAGGCCGGTGGTGGAGAGAGGAGACACACTATGGCCACTCACCCCCTGTAGCACATTTTTCCTCTTGTGATTGCAATCTGAGAACGTATCCCACAGGACTGGCCCCTTTTCTCCACCCCGCTGCCCTGCTCCCTGCATGTAGCAGAGTCGGGCCTCAAGTGCTTGCTGCCTCTATCTCCCGTTTGCCCTGCAACTGCCCCATCCCACCCTGGGCAACCGCAACAGAACTGCTTCTGAGGCCACATCTGCTCTACAGCCACGGCAGTAACACATCTACGGCACTGCAGCTGGGATGCTGTAGCACTGTAGTGTAGACGCTGCCTACGCTGACAAAAGGGGATTTTCCAGTGATGCAGTAAATCCACTTCTCTGAGAGGCAGTAGCGAGGTGGATGGAAGAATCTATCAACCTAGCTGCGTCTCCACGGGGGGGAGGGGTCGACCTATGTATGGCCCTCGGGGCATGAAAGATGTCATGGGGGGGTCACAGAGGGTGAGGGTGCCAGCGGCTGCACAAGCAAGAATTCGCCCTGTGAACCCTTTATTCCTGGTGATGACGCGTGAGAAGGAAAGAACCCAGCGCTTCTCTTCCATCCCAGGGCTGGCAGTGAGAAAAAAGATCTTATTGCTGGGAAACGGAGCCCCTGTGATTGCAGGGCACTATAGGGTGACGAAACAGCCACGTTTGAAGAGTCACTTTTAGGATACGTCAGTACTAAAGCTGGAAATGTGCTTTCCAGCATGGGTTTTCAGAGGTAGTGAGGCCATCGGGCCGTCCTGGAGGGGTCTTGGTCTAGATGCCCTTGGGCCGTCCCGTGTGGGGGGGGTGTCTCCAGCCCAGAGGCCCTCGGGCCATCCCGGGGGCCTTCTCCCAAGCGTGCAATGTGAAATGGAAGTGCCAGGTTTTCCTCTCCTCTCCCTGAGGAGGGGACGGGGCAGCCTGGCGCAGGCTCTCGGTGGCAACCACTCACGGCGTGCTCCCCGTGTGCTCCCTGTGGTGCTTGGTGAGGGCTGAGCGGACACTGAAGCCTTTCCCGCACTGCCCGCACTTGTGGGGCTTCTCCCCGGTGTGGGTGTGCCGGTGCCGCGCCAGGTCGGAGCTCTCGATGAAGCCCTTCCCGCAGTGGGGGCAGGTGTAGGGCCGCTCGCCGGTGTGTGTCCGGCGATGCTTGGTGAGGTGGGCGCTCTGAGCGAAGCGCTCGCCACACTCGGGGCAGGCATAGGGCCGCTCGCCGGTGTGGACGCGCCGGTGCCGCTCTAGGTGGGAGCTCCAGGCGAAGACCTTCCCGCAGTGCCCACAGGGGTGGGATTTCCGCTCGGGCTGGGGTCCCAGGGCCTCTGAACCCTGAAGCAGCTCCAAGCTCTCCCTGAAGCAGCTGCACGTCCCCTCCTGGTGGGCTCTCCGGGGCTTGGAGCCCAGCCTGCAGTGCTGGCACTGGGGACCCTGCTGCTGTTGTGGTGGCCCCAAGCTCTCCCCAGCGCCCTGGCTGCAGCAGCTGCGTTTCCCCTTCTGCTGAGCTTTCCTGGGCTTGGCCGGGCTCTGCTTGCGAGCGGGTTGTTGGCGCTGCCTGATGCTCCCAGCTGTGTGGGTCCGTTTGTGTCGCGTGAGGTCAGAGCTGTCCCCGAAGCCCTTCCCGCAGTGGGGGCAGCGGTAGGGGCGCTCCCCGGTGTGGGTCCGGCGGTGCTTGGTGAGGTGGGCACTCTGGGCGAAGGCCTCCCCGCACTCCCTGCACCGGTAGGGCCGCTCACCGGTATGGACACGCCGGTGACGCTCCAGGTGGGAGCTCCAGGCGAAGCCTTTGCCGCACTGGGTACAGCGGTAGGGTTTGTCCTCCAGGTGGCCGCGCCGGTGGGCCGCCAGGGCTGGCGGGTCACCGAAGCGCTTGCCACAGTCGCCACACTTGTAGGGGCGCTCGCCGCCATGGGCCAGCTGGTGCTGCCGGAGGTGGGAGCTCTGGGTGAAGCGCTCACCGCACTCAGGGCAGGCATAGGGGCGCTCGCCTGTGTGGACGCGCCGATGCCGCTCCAGGTGCGAGCTCCAGATGAAGCTCTTGCCACAGTCCTGGCACCGGTACGGCTTCTGGCCCTGGGGCGTTCGCTGGTGAGCTGTGATATCCTGCAGTTTCTTGGGGCTGGGCCCCTGAGGGGCGGGTTTGCCCTGTCTCCTCCCTGCCCCTCCCAGCCTCACCCCAGCAGGCCCCTGGCAAACAGCTCCTGAAAATCCTTCCGGCAGCATCTCCCGTGGTTCCGCTGGCTCAGGGCCTTCCTTCGGGGGATTCTCCTCCTCGGTCTCACTCGCTGTCCCATCACCTGCCAGGACAGAGAGAGAATAACTCCCACACTCCGCTCCTGCATGGCTAGGTCTCAAAGCACTTTACAAACCCCCGTTCCCCAGATGAGGAAACTGAGGCACGGAGTGAGGGCATGACTTGCTCAAGCTCACCCAGCAGGCCAGTGGCTAAGCCAGGAATGCACCCCAGGTCTCCTAGGTCCCTGTCCAGTGCTCTGTCCAGTCGGACACTGCCTGCCTGGAATCCACTCCCTGCTCTGGGCGGAAGGAACCTCGGAAAGGGGGGGAACAAACTAAAATAGCTCCCCGGGAGATTAGAAAATCACGGGCTGAATCCCCCAAACCCTCACCCAGAGGAGGGGACCAATTCTGCCCCCATACCCCATCCAAGCCCTCAGCGGGGAGGGTGCCACAGCAAGGTGTTGTCAGGCTGGGTGAGAAGCTGAGAGTGATGCTCACCAGGAGGCTATGACGCCCGCTGGGCACAGTCCAGACCTGGGACAGCAGTGGCAGAGCCGGGGACGCTGATGGGGCCCGGGTGGGAACCCCAGCTGTTTATTGCCCAGTCGGCATAGCTGATCCCTCACCTGGGTCAGACGCTGCTGGGATCTCCCTCTCCTTGGAGCCTCTGCGACGCTGTTCCAGTCGGGAGATCACCTCCGCTTTCAGGAAGGGGAATTCTGTGGGGGGGGAGTCAGGCGGGGCGGGGGAAACAAAGCTCGTTAGGCAGCGACCCCCTCTCCTTGCTCGCTGCCAGCGGGGCTGTGATCACCGTGATCCACAGCCCCTCCCTGGAAGGCTATGGGGCTGCATGGGGGTTCCCCAACTCCCTCCGTGTGATAAGATGCACATGGAGAGAAGCCACATCTACTCCAGGGGATTTATTTGGCCCAGCCACTAGAGAAAGGCAGGTCCCCAAGCACAGTGAGCACCACACAGCTGGGGTTTCCCTATTCCCCTACCAAATGGCAGCTCGGTTGCTCACTCCCCCAGGACTCTGACCAGCCTTGCCCTATCCCCAGGGCCGGGTCTGCACCTGCAGAGCCCCAAGCACCCGTTATGCTATGGTGTTGCCAGCCCTTGCGATCGTCTCACGAGTCTCGCAATATTCGGGATTTGACCTCAAGCCCCGGTTGCTGGAATTGTGAGATTGTGCCAGAATCTCAGGGTTCACTACAAAAAGAGATATGAAAGATGTAAATTTCTAGCCCAGGTGGTGAGGGGCATTGACAAGCTATCACTTTAAATTCTCAGGAGGTTTCCTGGTCCTGTTGGCAGGCTAGTGGGCGCTATAGGGAAGCATGTGTCCTGGGTCTAGCAGCAGTCAGTCTGCAAAGACCCAGCATAGAGCAAGGTGGGGTGAATTGTGCCACATTGCCTGAGGGAGCAGCCTGTTTTCTCTCTCTCTGTTTTTGGTTCTTGTGCATTTCAGTTCTGGATTCTAAGCAACCAAGTTCTGTTGCTTCCAGCTAGAGTCTATTATGTTTCTATCTCGCTTCTTTGCATGTAAGCCAGGAACGCAACAAGGAGCTGCAGAGAACAGTTTGAAAACGTGACCCTGAGTGTGACGCTAACAGCTCAAAAACCAGAAGGTGAAGAAAAGAAGCCCAACATTTTTATGTTTTCAATCTCATGATTTCAAAGCCAATCTCATGATTCCGGGGGTCTGATTCAGGAGTTTGGCTGCGGTAAGAATAACACTCCAACGGTCGTCAGAAAGAACACGCCACATTTTTTACCCCCAGCCCCCTTCTGTCCTGGTGTGGGATCCCTGGGAGACGCTGTGGGGAGGCCAGTGGGGCAAAGGGGATGGGCAGTGCCCCCTGGAGGGGGTCCGGTGATCTCCAACACCAGTACAGGTTACAGTGACTCCAGCATAGCACAATAGGGCACTAGCCCACCCCTAACCATGCCTTAAGATTGGGCCCTCCCTGGGGATGGAAAATACGTGTGAGTGACATGAGACTCATGATCACAGGACATAGTAGTGGAAGGGACCACCTGGCACATTGAGTCCCCAGCTATCTCTGACAGCCCCGTCATATAATCCCATACAAGCTGCAGCTTCAAACTAGCTGTTCCTGAACCTCCCTCCTCTGATGGGTAGAACCCTGCCAATTTCCAGCCTCAGTTTACTCTTGACTAGTTTATCTCCATTTGTTCTTGTGCCGACATGGTCTGGTTGCATTAGCAGATCTTCCCTCTCCCTGGAGCTCACCCCCCCACTCCAAATGAGAAGCAGCCCTCTCTCAGTCTGTGTCTGGCTGGGCTGAACAAGCTGAACTCATCCACGCTCCTCTTGTAAGCTGACTCCACTGCCCTGGGCATGCAGAAGTCCACTAGCAGGGGCCGGAGAGGGGATGGTCTCTCTCAGGCTGGCATCTGTGGACTATGGGGCTGATCCCACTGAAATCTAAAAGACCCAGACCCTGAGCAGCGCTTCAGAGACACCCCCACCCCCCATGTCCGAACGCCCGAGGGGACAGGAATCCTCACCCAGCGACATCAGGGTGTCGTAGCTTTCTTGCATGACGTCCCTGTACAGGGCTTTTTGGTGAGGATCCAGCAGGACGCACGGCTCCATGGTGGAATACACACCCACCTCCTTGCCGGCCGCCGGCCCCTGGAACAGCCAGAGACCCTCACTCAGAACCTGCTGTCCCAGCCACCCCCCCCCCCCCAGTTCTTCCATGGGCCCCACTGCCCCACCTTCTGGTGCTACCTAACGAATAGCACTCTGAAAGACACCTAGGGGGTGGTCTTCTACCCCGGCTCTGCCCCTGGTGCCCACAGCCCAGCCATGTTGCCACTCATGCCTCGGTTTCCCCATCTGTAAAAGGGGGAGAATGACCCTGAGCTCCTTTGTAAAGCAACTGGAGATCTGTGGATGGAAAGTGTGACAGGAGAGCTCCTGCTATTAGCATTCTCACCCTCATCCTCCCCCGCCCAGCCCTAGCCTTTAACTCTGGGGAGTTTCCAGCTGGGCCTGGAGGCTCAGGCACAGCCGTCCTAGTGAGGAGCAGATGATCTGCCATTGCCTGTCCGGGATGAGGGGTTCCCAGACACTTTTCCCCACTGCGGAGTGCGAAACCATTGGTGCCTTGGCTACTGCCATGGCAGGCCGCTGGGGTGGGGGCGGCTGGTACCCCTCTCCCTGGAATGTCAGCGCCATGCTAGACAAGTCCATCATTAACCCCTTCCCCTCGCCTGCTCGCTGCTCCCCCAGCCTCCTGGATGGGCCACCCTCAATCCCACGGCCCGGCCCGCGGGAGGAGGGCAGGATCTGGAGCGTTATCCTGCATCCGAGAAGGGCGAGCAGGGGGAGGTTTCAGGAGGGGCTTTTGGCCCATTTCTCACCCCAGTTTCCCCAGGGCCTTTCCCTGCATACAGAAGAATTAGACCCACAGATGCTTGGAAAACCCTGGGGCACTTTATTCCTGGGCAGACCCGGCCCCTCCCACCAGGTCCAAACCCACCCAGACATTGGTACCCCCACTCCCAGGCACAGAGCCTCTTAGCCAAGTGCAGAACCAAAGGAGCCGCTCTGACGGATCCCCCCCGACACTATCCCCAGGGCAGCGCATCCCCCCAGCAGCGCGGGGACCAGGCAGAGTCAGGAACTGGCTTTTCC